ACATTTCCCCCCTCATACTTACTTCAAATTTAGACTTCATTTCACTAGCATTATTTTTATTTCTAATATTCAAATTTCTATCACCTTATTACTGACATTTTCTTATTTTAGTGTTTTATTTCATATTATAAGATCATCAGAAAAGTTATAACACAGTTTTGCATAGAAAAACAGAAAAATGTGTCATGACTTTTCTGACGATGATTATAATCATTTTCTTTTTTCTTTAAGTTCATTTTGAAATAGTAGTAAAGGTGAAAATCTTGCTGAGCTTTTCTCTCCCTATCATTCTCTTGTTGCCTGGAGGATGTTTTTCTTCTCCTGGTCTGTCTGTGTCTCTCTCTGTTCTGTAGTAACTTTATGGGAGATTTGACCTTTGCTTTCTTTGGTCGTCTCTGTGCTTATCATTATATTTTTTTTCCCCAATGCTCCTTTCTTTGAGACTTGACTTATACAAGTGGGCCTTATTAGCTGGTTAGTTCAGAGAGCTCAGAGAGCTCCATTGTCCACGAGGTCTTTGTTATCACCCCACTACTGGATTGTGCATAACCTCTTGTTTCCAACTGTGTAAAAAAGATACACCAGGATATACCTAGTCAGTGTTTTGGCAAGTGACTGTTTTCCATGTCTTGTGTAGTGCAGTGAGGGAATTGTGAATGGCGGAAGATCTTCATGTTAGGAGACTTGCCTGCTTTGCCACCTTCTAGTCTTGTCCAGTTATTTGGGGCATGGCATATGAGCTGCTCAGCTTTGGCTGCTTCCTCAGCAAACTGCAAACGCAAGGGTTAAAAATGCAAACTCAAAATGGTAGATTATGAATGGAGGTGCTTATTATAGACACCTGGGGTGTTTTGTCAAGGAACACATACCTATGCGTTTCCAGCCTAGACGTCTTTCTATACCAAGTGTAGGGATAGGGCAAGAGTATATGTGGTTCTGATACCCTTCTTCTTTAAGGATGTCAGCTCTTCTATTATCTTCTTACACTTCTGGTGTTCTTGGATTTGTATCTTGTGGATACAGCCCTGCAATCAGTGAACTCCACAGTAGTTAATGAGACCAGGTAAAGTGCTAGTTAGAAGAACTGGCCAGCCTTTGGCCTAGTGGTTGAGGTGACTGGATCTCACATGACTGACTGTGTAGTTCAGGTCCTGGACCTAGTGGCTTGAAAAACATCCTAGGCATGGGTGTGTGCTTGTCCAAAATTCCAAAAAGATGGAGAAATGGAGAAGTGATCACAGCATGACCTTCTCCCATGGGTGGTGCTGTCTCTCTCATGGGTGATGCTTTCTCTCTCTTTCTCTCTCTCTGTCTGTCTGTCTTTCTCTCTGGTGAATGCATGTATCCTCTGGCAAACTGAAACAGAAAAGGTTGGAAGAATTAAATAGTAATAGATACCCACCATGTAAAAGATGTCATTAAAGTGAAAGTGATGAGTACCAAGTAAATGGGACACACTGTTGGTGTTTATTTTATTTTATTTATTATTATTTATTTGATTTTATTTATTCATTCATTTATTTTAATTTGACTGAGAGAGACACACAGAGAGAGAGACAAAGGGCTAAAGGAAGCCGCCAGGTCTGGGGCTCGAACCGTGGTTGGCCATGTGGGAGTGTCCAGCACCTTAACCACCATGCCACCTGCTGGTCCTGACTGTTGGCGTTTATAAAGACAGATTATTGTGAATTCAGGCAGTATCCAGTATTCATATTAACTGCTTAATTTAGAAAGCCGAATTCTTTGATAATGCATTAAATGAGTTTATGTATATTAATTTTGACCTTGGTACAACATTATAATGTATAAATGTTGTTATTTGCATTTTAAAGAGACAGAAAGACTCTGTTACTTGTAACACCTAAATAATATGCCTAATATCAGCTAAGTCCGAAGTGGCAGAGTCAGGTTATATGTTCTTGACCAACATATCACCTGTCAAAAAGACAATGAAAATAAAATGACATGCATTACTGAGGAATACGAAATATACTGGAGACATTTTAACCAAAGTGAAAGTTGCAGCTACACCTAAATTTTACTGCATTTACAAGTACTGAATTCAAATGAGAAAGAACAAAATTATTATTCTTTTATGCTGAGAAATCTTAATATAATATAAAGAATTATGGTTTAAATGTTTGAGGTTTACTTGTATTGTGATGTGTAATTATTTGAAAAGCTGTTTTCTCTTGTTCTAAGGCACACACTCTGGAATTCCATCCCTTGCCCACAAAAAGGCATCCAAGCTTCCAAATACCACAGACTCTTCACAGAATTTAGCATGAGATTTTGTGCCACAGTTACTGTCAGGATAATGAATTATGAATCATTTCCTGGACCAGAAATTCCTTGTTTGTTATATAGACACTCAGAAATGTTTCCACAAATAAAAAGCAAAGTTTCTGTTTCAGAAGGAAAACACTGTGTTTCTGAAATAACATGGCTGAACAGTCCAGCATTAAGGGCTCTAACTCAGTTGTTACTAATGACTACATAATCTTACCATGCGCATGTGAAAGTTAGAAAGATAATAGGACTTTAAAGAAATATATACTTGGACTGCCCCTGTAGTGCAGTGGTTGAGCGCTCTGCATGGGGAGCCAATCCAATGTGGGCGACTGTAGTTTGAATCCTGGCCCCAGAAGCTTGGAAGACACATTGGGGCGTGTGTGTGTGTGTGTGTGTGTGTGTGTGTGTGTGTGCACATGTGCATATGCTGGGATCCTAGTGGGACGGGGAAGTGGAAGAAAAAGGATTCTGATGTGAGCATGCCCCATTGGGAGGTGGTTTCCCTCTCTCTCTTCCTGTCCTTCTCTCTACTGTGTACTAGCATATACCAGCAATTTAAAAAGGTTTGTATTCAGTGTGTATTTATGAGAGACGTATTGTCTGGGATTTGTTTTAAGATACTGTGATGGGGGAGGGCAGGATTCCTGCAGAATGGTGGTGATAGGGGAAGGCTAAATGAAGCAGTTGTGAAAAAAATGTTGGTATTTGTTGAATTTGCTTGCTGGGCACATGGGTACTCATGATACCATAATTTCTTCTTTTGTATATAAATGGAGTTTTTCACAATAACATTAGAAAGAGAATTGTCGAGCTTGTAGTGTGGCTTTCATAGCATCAAATGAAACTAATGAGATTAAGCCCCTGTCATGTTAAAAGCAGGAGGGCAAGGGGAAGGTGAGAGTGACCTTTCTGCCTCTGCTGCCTTCTCAGATGTCAAGGTGCCATTGTTTTGGGGGTAGGATGCTTTGAAGCTCTTGAGGGGCCAGTGGGGAGGAGGCAAGGACTGAGTGAGGGATTTTCAAGCTGAAACTTCAGTGTATTGACTCATTATTTTCCTCTAGCATATTTATTCATTATTTATTCATTATGATTATTGTTAAATTATTCAGAACACTTTTTTTGTTACAGAGATTCATCAGCTGCTTTCAAAGCACTTTTCATGGAGTAGTTTAATGGAGCATTTGTAATGCCTGGGTGTTAACTATACAGATCACACATGACTATTTATGATCAAAACAATCAATTATACTTGATTATAATTTCTGCTGAGGAGCGTGTTTGTGACTGCTAGGGCCCAGACAGGGCTATAATCATCCTTCTTGGAGCTGGTATAGATTGAAATCTAAGCATCTATCTGCATTCTTGTTTAGTATCTGCTATTTACATTTGAATGATCTTAGGCAATGTCAGTCCTTCTGCTCCCCAATTTCTTTCTCTGTAAAATCGACAGGATGGGCAGAGAGCTCTTTTACCTAGTAAAAATCTGCACGTTTGGAGCCTCCTTTGCAAAACCATGGTGCTTGTTGACTTTTGAGTTGAGTGAGGAAGATGCCAGGCCCTTTACGCTCTACTCCATCCTCTGTCTTCATTTCAGTTTTCAGTTCTGCAGCTATTTTGGCCTTAGTAGTGGGTGATGATTAAGAATTGTGGGAGCTTTGGCTAACTGGGAAGCTTATGACTCTTCCAAGGGGCCATCTGCTACCCAATTCTCGTGCCACTTGGGGACATGAGCCCTATGTCATCAAATTTTTGAAATGGTCAGAAGAAATATGATTGTAGGCTGCCATTTTCTTGGCTCTGTCTTATTCTTTATGAGCAAGCTACCTTAACAAATGCCTGAGTGTGGAACAGATGTCCAGTTAGTGTTTGTTTGGGTTTTCTGAATCGGTTGTCAGTGCTTGGCATATGATGTTCTTCTCATATAATTTCTTTTTATATGTCTTGTGGTGATTGAGAAGACCCGGTGTTCTGGTAGGAAAGGACAGAGAAAGTATTTGAACAGGGAGTAGAAAGATAAGTCTTCCACCGCTTGCCCTTAGGCCGACCATGTAAATCACTACGTTGCAGGGTTTCTCAGTTTGGTGGTAGTGACTGGATTTTTTAAATTGGAAGTTTTGGAAGCAAATCTGGAAAATATTGAATGGTCACAGTATTTCTTAAATTACAGATCCTTTTCCCCCCTTGTCTTGGATTCCCATTATCTTTGGATCCTCTGTCCCTTCCCCCTTCTTTCTTTTCTCTCCTTTCTCTTTCCTTCCTTTCCATACCATGACTTTTGGGCCTGAGGTATTTCCTATATTGCAGGCATTGTGTGCATAAATTATGTTGTAAAGATGCCATTTCAATTGCAATCTAGTCAAGACCAAACTAGAAAAGATACTGAGAACTCATGGCAATTGATGTGTGAAGAGATAGTTTTATAACACTTATATTTTGGATTTTGGTAATACAACACAATAAAATATATATTTTGGTAAAATATAACACAATAAAGTAGAAACTAAACTCTGTAAGGTCCAGAGAGTCCTATTTCTGTATATTGGAGCACATTTATACAGGGGAGCTGACAACCTGATATATGAAGCTGTGAAACCCTTAAACACCAAAGATCATTTATACCATGGTCCTCCTAAAGAGTGTCATTTGATTCTGGAAGTTATTTTTACTTGGCCATAGTCCTTTGCCCTGACCTTATGGTTCTTGTTTAGGATGGGATCTTTAAGATGAGTCTTTCTCCGGATGGGATGCTTCTTGCCGCCATTCATTTCTCAGGGAAACTGAGCATCTGGGCCATTCCATCTTTGAAGCAACAAGGGGAATGGAATCAAAACGAGCAGGTATGTCTCTTGTTGGTTATTCTTGTTGGTATTTTCTTACGGATGAGTACTGACAGTACTCATTTCACTTTGTTATTTTCCTATAGCACAAACTATATTGTGATTCTGAAGCTGTTCTGTTCTTTAGTTAAATTATATTAATACTGTGGGGCCAATTAAGAATAGACTGCTACCACTTACTGGTTTTAATGTGTAGTGCAGTATGCCCTGTATACTGATTGTGGTCATTGAAATGAACTGTTTTTTTTTTTTCTTTTTTTTTTTCCTCTTTCACATTCCAAAAATACAGAATGGAGATGTTAAAATTTAAAAAAATCAGCATGATCAAGCATATGGGGGAGGGGGAATCAAATCCTAAAACAGTTACAGTTCTTCCCAAATCCTTAGTTTTAGTCACATGGGGCTTACTGAGGGCTTTCAGAGAGTTACCTTGTCTTCATTCAAAGGTAAGTAGCTCAGATATAAAGATAAGGACTCTATGATTTTTAGTGTCTTGAAATGAGAAGTTTTTTTGGTTTTTTTGTTTTTTTTTTTGAGAGGTTTTTGCTACAGGGCATGTGCACTTGCCGGACAGAGAGAGACAGAGAGACAGAAAGTGAGAAATCACCCCCTAGGGGGGATGGCCACGCCACAATCCCTTCTCCTCCGTTCTCTCGGGATCTTGGGCATGCACACACACATGCCCAGAATGTTTTAAGCCACCGGTTCCGGGACACGAACCATGGTCAACTACATAGTCATTACGCTAACTGCTGGTCCCTTGAAATAAGAAGTTTTAAAAATTAGATGCCTTTGTTGTTTAGTTATGGTAGAATCAACATTATTATAATTTAAATTTACAAGGAATAGATAAGCTTTGCTTAAAGCCATATATTATGGTAGTATGAAGGTTCAGTGAAAATTTTTCCTCAACTGGATATAGCTTATGTTATAAATCTTTTATTCTAATGCATTTCATCACTTTAAGGATTAATTCTCCTTTCCTCTCTGCCCCATTTTCCTATTGGTATATCTAGCTTTCTCATTCTAAGACTGGAGCATGTTTCCTGAATGATCTGAATGGACCAATGTCACATTAAGAGAATCATTAATAAGCAAACATTTTATTTTGAGAATTGCAGAGGAAAAGAGAAAGTGACTCTGCATTTTTTTACTCTATCATAGATTTAAATTTATTTGTTTTAGCTGTTTTTTGTTTGTTTTATGCAAGCTTTAGGAAAGTTCTTCCCACCCTGCTCCTCCAGTTCCCATTCACCTTCAATTTAATATGGTCTCTGTATTGAGCTGGTGGCCCTCGTATTAAATTGACTGAGAGGGTAGCACTCTCTCACCTTTGGATCTTGAGTGGAAGAGGTGCTTCTCAGTCTGCAACCTCAGTAGCTAAAGACAAGGGACATCATTTCTCTCTGCTCTGAAATTACAAGCAAGCTGACTTACTTCTTCTCTTTAGAAGTGGAGTAAATCGACTCTCAGAATAGTTAAATGGATTCAGGCAGCTGTGTCAGGAAGCCGGCAGGTAAAGAAGTAGCTGGGGATGAGAGTGTGGGCCGATTTGTAAGGCAGCATTTCATATGACTTATACTTCCTAAGACATAGTCCATGAGTTCTGTTTAACATCCATGCCCAAAGTAGGGACATCATTTAGATAATTGACTCACAAGACGCTTTGTATTTGTCATGGTTATCAATATGTGGTGATGAATAATAATAATAATAATAATAATAATAATAATATAGTGTTCTTTTGAAAATACATGGGCAGTGTTAGGGTGGCTGTATCCCTCATGCCCTATTGCATGGTTCAAGTCCTGGACCCAGTGGTTTGAAAATCATGCTGGGCATGTGTGCATGCATGTGCAGACTCCCGCGAGAGGAGAATGGAGGAGAGAGGACTGTGGCAAGGTCATCACCCTCTGGGAAGTGATTTCCTGCTTTCTGTCTCTCTCTGTTGCTCTCTGGCTAGCACCTGAACCCTATATCAAAATAAGAAAAAAAAGCAAAAAACAGCCACCACCTAAAAATTTAAAAAGAGGGAACCAGCAGTTTGCGTAATGGCTATGTCGCTGGACTCCCACGTAGTCGACCGCGATTCGTGTCCCGGACCCAGTGGCTTAAAACTCACGCCGGGCGCATGTGCGTGCGTGCCCAAGATCTCGAGAGGAGAATGGAGGAGAAGGGATTGCAGCGTGGCCATCCCCCCTGGGGGGTGATTTCTCGCTTTCTGTCTCTCTGTCTCTCTTTGTCTGTCTGGCGAGCGCATGCACCCTATAGCAAAAACCTCTCCAAAAAAAAAAAAAATTAAAAGAAAATTGGAAACCTTGGAATGAGGGTAAATACTTCAGCAGGTTGAAATATGTAATCAGAAAAGTAATGGAACAGGGAAGGAAGGGGCTTCAAAAATAGAAAAAGTGGCACTTGGTTGGAAGAGATGAGTTGAGACTTGAAGTTTGCCTCTAGCCAGGCCTCAGTGAGAGTCTCTGAGGAGAAGCTCCCTGACAGTTTGCAGGCAGCTCCTCAGGGACTGCCGTGGCTTACTGTGCACACCCACCTCCTGTGGCGCTGACACCGAACTCCCCCACCTGCCCATGGGGAGAGCAGGAGAGCGTTTGTGTTTTAAGTCAATCTTTCAGTCAGAAGAGGGCAGCAGCTTGATCCTACACTAGTTGTATCCCTTATTACAAATTTGTACACTTTCAGGGTTATATGTCAGTTTCTCCTGGTTTGGTGGTATGCATTGTTTCTTTGAATAAACCGAGTAAGCTGGAGAAGTTGTTCTGAAGCACGTAAAACTGAAACCCGTGGAACCCATGGACCCAGTTGTAACCACCAAGGACATTGCACAGGTTGTGATGCCCCTTGCTGAGCGGACGGTGGCTCGGCTGTAGTCCCTGAGCCTGATCCTGCTTTCATGCCATTCCCACTGCCGCTCCATAGTCTGCCTTTCCGACGTGGGCACATCCCAGGCCTGTCACTGCCAGGCCACCCTTTTCACGCTATTCTTCCTACACAGAGAGGTTGTGGCAGGGTGGAACAGGCTGTATTCTCAGACCTCACTTAGTTTTAGCCTCCAAAGAAGTATTGATCCAAAGTTAGGAACATGGAAGGCATTTCATTTTATCCTCTTTTTTTCCCCTATAAAATTCTAAAGTTGTGGTCCAAATGCCAACTTCTCTGTTTCTCTGTCACCTCTTCTGTTGTGGTCATTAAGTTGGCTTACTGTCCTCCCCGCCCTCTACTTTCCGCACTTCATTTTATCATAAACACCTTTAAAAGGCTCCAGCCTCTTCCCACTCTCTCTGGTTTCTTCCAGTACACTTGTACGGTTTGGTAGGGTGAAGGCGCAGGTATGGCGTGTTCTTGTAGCTTTTACAAAGTGTTCTCTGATAATGACGGTAGTTATTACTTCATGAGCACTTAGTTCTAGAGTTACACAGCAAGTCAGCAGTAGAGCTGAGATTTGATTTCTTAACTCTCTGACTCTGATGTCTGTTACTTTTTCCATGACCATGTAGGAAAAGAAATACATTAGGAAATGAAAGAAAGGCAGAAGGCAAACTTTTTCGTCTAGTGAATGCCAGCATGTCCTACACACACTTTGTGCCCTTACTTGGTGTGTCATTAGTTAGTTTGGTAACGCTCTGCTATTTGAACCATCGGGTTCGTATGTCATAGGTTAGGAAGACAGGAAACACCCCTTATGATTGCTAATTGTCTACACTGACTGCTTTCATTTGCTGATTTATAAAATCAAAGCGACTAGATTTTTTTCCTCAGAGATGTACTATACATTTATTCTAATAGACTCAACACTAGAGCAAGTTAGTATATATCAGGTACCAGAATAAATAACAGAAGCCTTCTCATTGGTTAAAAATCTCGTTTTTTTTTTGAGAGGTTTTTTTCTCTATAGGGCGCATGTGCTCGCCACAGACAGAGAGAGACATAGAGACAGAAAGTGAGAAATCACCCCCCAGGGGGGATGGTCACGCCGCAGTCCCTTCACCTCCATTCTCCTCTCGGAATCCTGGGCATGCACGCACACGCGCCCGGCATGAGTTCTACGCTACCAGGTCCGGGACGCGAACCGTGGTCAACTACGTGGGAGTCCAGCGACATAGCCATTACACTAACTGCTGGTTCCCAAAATCTATTTTTTTAACTTAGTAATTTTTTTTACATTTAATCACTGTGCATCATTACAGCATACTAAATGAATTTTCCCATCATGAGTACACTGTATATTGGTTCAGTCAAAGATACCACCATACGCATTATAATCAACACAGTTTTTTCCATTTTGAGTCCCTTAACTGTTTTGCTTCTTTCTTCCTCTTGATTCCCTCCCTCTCACCCCCCACCCCCATTTCTTGCCCTCCTCCCACACTGTCTCCAGCATCACCATTGCTCTCCATGTTTAGACCTCCCAGTCTTTCAGTTTCTGTCATGGAGGGCCGGCATTCGGTATATGTTGAGTAGGAACGTGCAGTGCCTCTCTTTCATAGTCTGGCTTGCTTTGCTCAGCAGTAAATCTCCCATATTCATCCACTTTCTCTCAGATGCCAGGGTCTTGTTGCTTTGTTATGGCCGAGTAACATTCCATAGTGTGTATGTTCCACACTTTTTCAGTCTGTTCATCTGTTCATGGATATTCAGGTTAGTTCTATGTCTTAGTAACTATGAATAATGCTGTAATAAACATGGATGTACAAGTGTTTTCCTGATTGAGCGAAAAGTTTTCCTGTCCTTTGGGCAGATACCCAGGAGTGGAATTGCTGGCTTATATGGTAGTTCTATTAGGAGGCCTTTAAGGAACCTCCATATTGTTATCCATAGTGGCTGTACTAATTTACATTCCCCCAAATCTAAAAAAATCGTTGGTAAACTCTTAGCTTTGTAGTAGACATCTAATGTGCCTGTGAGGGTGTGGGGTATGGGGTGGAGTGACTCTTGGTCCTGCAGGCGGAGTTTACATAGCCACACTCTGAGTCTTTCGCCTATCT